AATATACATGTTTGCAATGACATACCATTTCTGATATTAGCATTTGTTTATAAATTTTTAACAATTTAATAAACATATTATTGAGACTTTTTATAAACAAATATAATAACTTTTTTTGAATTATCACATTAAAGATATAACGTTTTTTCAAAGATTAGAGGTAAATATATCAATTTTTATAGTTTTGTATTGATAATTCTTTGATATGTTTTCTGACGTGATCTTGACGTCTTTAAGTGAAATATTGATCTAATGTTTAATTAATTTAATCTGAAGTACTTTATAAGTTTCATGTTAAAACTTATTGGCTGACAAATTTTTGCAGTTTAGTTGTATTTAGTATTTCTTATTTCTTTTTGTCAAACTTATATTTCGTTATCTAATTATTATCTTTTTATTATTTCTCTATTAACTGTACCCTTACCCACCCCCAATGAAGATCCCGAATTGAGCAACGTAGTCTTCGTAAAGTTTTTATGAACGACCAACTAGTCTTGTTAGCTTTTTCGTTACACCACCACAAATATTACAATGACCAGACCATATAAAAAATATGAAAGACAAACTTGTTTGTAGCTAAAATAATCATAGAAAATATAATTTCTTCAAATCAATTGATTTTACAATATCTTAATGAAAATGATTTGTTAATTTTCATTAGTGTGAGGTGTACCTACTTCTCTATTGAAGTGTAGAGAAGCTAGTAATTATTTACAAAAATATGTCATAGTTGCTCTATGGATAAATTTATAATCTATCTCTTACATAAACTGTACAACATAAAATTTAAAACGCATATTACTATCCTTTGTAGATATTAATAGGCTGTCAAGAATAGCTCAAACATTAAAATTCTGAGGCTTATCGACATTTTCACATAAACCTATGTACATTTCTAATTTTATGCAAATTCAAACAAGTGATTTTTACAATACAAAAATAAACAAAAACAATAAATATCTTATTTCACTATTATGTGTAGCTTCAAAAATAAAAGAAAATTCATAATCAAGATGACTACTGTTTGGCTACATTCTAAATCTAAAAATCTGCAAGTATTCCAGAAATTCAATTTCCCGTCAGTCTTCCTTATTCTACGATAAATTCGAGATTATTGTTCAGATAATTTTTATATCGAGATTTTAATCTTATAGAACATCACAGAAATAAATATTATGGATTTAAAATATACTCTTTTGCTTTTTCTAGTACAGATATACTAGTTTATAAAGCAGATGAGTAAAGTAAAGCAACAGATTCAGATTGTTTGTTGCTTAATATTGTCCAAAAAATTAAAATAAATTACGTACATACTGTTATAAACTGTAATAGAAGCTATCGTAAATGTAGAGGATATGCTATTAAATATATTAAGAAAACTGTTTAATCTATGTTTGCAGCAAAGAGAGGTGCCCAAGGAATGAAGGAGATCCATCATCATCATCATTTTGTGTGGGTTTGGCCTTACCAAGAATTTTTTCCAGTCGTCCCTATCCATCGCCTTCCTCCGCCAAGCACGTATTTCCATATTTCTCATATCTTGGTCTATGTTATCTAGGAATCTTCTTCTGGGTCTTCCTCTTCTTCTTTGACCAATAGGTCTATCAAGGAGCGTTTTTCTAGCTGGATCGGTTTGCTCCACCCGTATTACATGGCCTACCCACCTCAGACGTCCTATCTTAACGTGTTTGAAGGAGATCCATTGTCACCGAAATTATTCATAACGGCATTAGAGTATGCCTTTAAGATGGTTAATTGTGACCACAGAGGAGTAACAATAGACAGCGAAAAGCTTAACCATCTCCGTTTCTTTCCACAGATGACATTGTCCTCATTAGCAAAGATCTGCGAAGAAGGACGAGTATTGCTGATGTTGTATTATGATGATGTGCTTGATCAGGCGCATAAAATCGTTAAAAATGGAGGAGTTTAAGGGAGGCCTACGTCCAGAAGTGGACATGATAAATGAAGAATGGATAATAATGATAATACTTTAATAACCCATATCTAATATAAATGGCTCGTGCCAATATGAGGTAATCTTAATTATTAACAGAATATAAAATGACTATTTCGTGTCTTATAGGTTTTCAAATATGTTGACTCAGTTTAAAGCATTCTATAAAATAAAAATTATTGAAATGTGGAAACTTAATTTGGAAACCTGTGGTTTAAAGCTCCTTGTTTGAAAAAAAAAGCAATTATAAGCCAGTACTGCAGACTGATCAAGTGCAACCTTTGTAAGACCGATTTAGAAGCCGATGCTGCCTGTTTCACCTACCAAGAGCAATAAACACAGGTAGAACATTACCTTTATCGTGCACTTTGTAAGGTGATTTCTCTCTGGATTCTCCTTCGAGCGGGAGAAATTCAGCACCACCGATTCTGTAAGACCCAAGAAGAACGAGAGGACCAGATTCTACAGTTAAAAATCCCAGAGAACAAACGTGATAAAGAAGCTCTAGCTAAAGAAACACTTCAGCCTGAACAGAAGAAAACTCCAGATCTAAAAATAGTCTGTAAGCGGCTGGGCAATGGAGCTAGGCCACAGTGGCAGGAGATTGTGAAATATGGGCAAGCAGTGAAGGGCTATTGGCTTCAATAGGACTCCTTGTGTCTTCTGGATGACCTTATAAGTCATAAATGGGATAGTCCAGATGAAACAAGAACCGTGCCCCAAGTTGTTCGCCCAAAATCATGTGTTGACGTATTTGCAGAACTCTATGATAGCCGCTTCAGGGGGCCTTTTGGGATCAATAGGATTCTGGCCAGAACCCGTGATAGGTATTATTGGGTTAATTATTGGCAAGATGTGGAAGTATGGTGCAAACGATGTGACCTGTGTGCATCCAAGAAGCGAAATAAAACGAGACTTAGGAAAACACTCTAACAATACATCACCGGGATTCCATAGGAATGAACTGCTGTTGACATTCTGGGACCATTTCCAGTAAAAACACCAGATACAAGTATTTGATGGTTGCTATGGACTATTTTTCCAAATGGATAGAAGTAATTGCACTACTCAACTAAGAAACAATTACAGTTGGTGAGGCCCTGCTTGAAAACGTCGAGACTGGGGCAAACTATTGCCTTTGTTTCTGCTAGCCTACCGAAGCTCCCAACATAAAGCTTCTATAGCAATGTTATTGACTCGTCGGTGGATAAAGCTTCCTATCTATTTCCTACATCTACCAGACGAAGAGGCGGACCAAGGGACAGTCTCCGAGAATGTTGGTAGCCTAAAGGATCCACTTCTGCTAGTTGCCTCTGTTTCTGCTTTCCTACCGAAGCTCCCAACATTAAGCAACTGGTTACACTCCAGCAATGTTATTGACTCGTCGAGAGATAAAGCTTCCCATCGATTTCCTACATGGCAATTTACCAGACGGAGAGGCGGACATGGGACAGTATCTGAGTATGTTAGTAGTCTAAAGGATGCACTTCTGTTAGTTTCAAGGAAGGTGATGCAATTTGGCTCTACCAACCAACAAGAATAAAAGGTCTAAGTCCCAAGTTGCAGTGGCCCTGGGAAGGACCGTGCCCGCTTACTAAGTAGATAAGCTATCTTGTATATAGGGTTCAACTTACGCCACGAAGTGTTCGTTCATCTGGAAAGACTGTGTTGTTATGAAAGTCAGAATTCACCAACTTAGGTCCACTTAGGTAGATACTGTTCGGGGCGAACAATCTGAAAGGAGTTGAGTCACAACGCTCCAATTGCACCCCTATCGTAACAGTCATTCTAGAAGTGGAATTAACCACTTTATCAGCAAGGTTCTCGAACTCTTTATTTTTATTTTTCTGGAATCTCGTATTAAAGTGCCGATTCGGCATTAGTACCTTCGCTGGAAATCTAGAACAGATGTTCGTGTATACAAATTGCTCGTCTATTTTGAATAAAGGTATGGATAAGCGATATCCATATTATTGTAGACGAAAATTATAAGTATATTTATCATAGAGAGGCTAAAGAGAGGTTAGACATATCTGTTATTTAGTGAGTTTTTTGTAGTCAAGTGAGTTCAATAAAATTAATTAAACTACGTTTACTTTAATTAATTCCTAATCCCACAAAAAACGTAACAATATATTCTGCCTATTCAGAATAATTACATCCCCGATCCCCGCTACTTAGAGCTACCCCTTGTGTGACACTGAGGATTTTTAATACTTGATTCGGAATATTAGCATTGGTTACCTAAAGGCTAGATAGGTTATTCATAGACTATTTAGTTTTTTTGGTATTGTATTATGTTGATGTAAATGAAACTGCAAAAGTGCAAAGAAAAAATTTATGGTATACATCTAAAAAAATCAAAACAAAAATGCAAATTAATTTATTTAATGTACAATTTTTGAACAGCCCAGGAGTAGAAGTGCAGTCTCAGAAGAACGCTTTAACAAATCGTCTCTACTAGGCGATCAAAAAAAAAATACTCATCTTAATTTAAATTACGATGGAAAAAATATTGTAATAGTTTCTTTGAATACTTGAAGACTTTTAGACAGCTACTTTAGAATATTCTTTGACTGTACCTGACCTAAAATTCAATTTTTGGCAGTAAGGTCATTAAGGCAGCTTAGTCTTTCAAATAAAATCAATATACCGTTGTGTTTATGTTAAAACAGATATGCCATTCTGATCATGCTATTTCTTTAAAGAAAACTTGAAAAAATAAATATTTTTTTGTCAGTGTAGCAAACGTTTTTGCATATAAAAATGTTTTGAAGACGAAATTTATAGACGTTTCAGAGATTTTAGATGGATATCATTGCCCTAAACAATTAGTATAATTGATCCTAATAATTGATTTATAATATTTTTATAATAATATACATGCGACAATGGTCTACTAAGAACACAAAATACTAACTTTTGAGTCCTTACGTTTGATTTTATAAATATTTTCTATAAGGATCTATCACAATAGGCTTATGTAAGGTATAATTTATTTTAATGTCTTCAAAACATTCTTATTTTACAACTGATATGTCATTTATAGTTTCACAGCTTTTGCTTTACCAACAACAACAAATATTTTTTGAAGGAACACGGTAGCGCCGTTCGAGCCTCTTTGGAACCAGTCTGGTTTTTTCCAGTAAACAAATACAAAATAGACAGGAATGGACGAAAGAATCATCAACAATCCCATACCTGAAATATAAGAACATTTAAATAATACCTTCATTTACTTCTTAAATATTTTCAAATTTTTAATATTTTCTACAATACTTAATAACAATATACAATATTTTAATACCTGTACGTTTAGTTAATATGCACAAATTTAGAGTAAAGGATCGGTAAAATACAGTTTTTTTTAGATGCGGTTTTAGAACACGAGAGGCCCTCTTTGCTATACAAGTCGGGTCAAAAAATGCATGGATCAATCAAAAGGTGTTGACTGTGAGAAAACATTCGATACCATCTAACATTACAAACTTATCAAACTATTACATCTTTCAGAACTTGACACTAAGGAAATCCAGATTATTAAAAATCTGTATTAAAATCAAACAGTTCACATCAAGTATGGACATATGGTGGGTAAAAACATAATCATTTTTGAAGGGGTTAGACAGGGCTGTATTCTTTAGCCCCTGCTATTCAACCTATACATAAAACAAATAGTTGTAGAGTTTTTTAGAGTACCTGATCAAATTGAGTAAGAACAGTAAGAATATTCTGTTTATCTAAGAATATGAGAATCATGTATATAGGTTGATCTGACTATGATTGAGATAAGTCAAAATAATCACAGTATGAGGAATGTTATTATCATCTGCAAGTCTGATAAGTTCTCGTGGATGCATTGTAAATTATGCTTTTTAGCCAATCAACTGTGATTCTGTCAGCACAAAACGATAACATCCAGTCTTGTCTAACTGAAAGTTGCTGAGTTTCAGTTTAAGCTGTACCTTTGAATTGATCTGTACAATTTTTATCCAAAATCATCTCTTTTATGGCTGTTCCACTGTTAATCTTTTCCACTGAAATAGAAGTCTCTCGATTATTTTAGGGCAGTATTCCTACCCATACGACTTTTAACGCTTGTGCGGTTCTTTTTAGAGCTTTTTGGGCAACTTTTTCTGATTTTTGTTACTTTTGGAGGGCTTCAGGGCCTATTGTTACTTGAAGCTTTATTTCATTAGGCATTTGAAACTTTTCCTCTCTGCACAATCTTTTTCAGTACTCGCTGAGCTTCATGAATGTTTTTATGAGTGGATAAACTGTTGCAGTTTCGCAACTTTATATGAATATGGCGAAGATATATATCAACATATTTTCTGTTAGTTTTCTTTCTCTTCATATAGTTAGCCAAGATTTCACTTACAAAAACCCAGACACTATCGAACAATAAACGCTTGTTGATACAATTTTGCAAAGAATAGACTGTTCATTCATACATTGTTGTGAACAATGAAGCATAGAAAAAATGAGTATCTTTTGTTAACTACTTGGGTAATTATACTAGTGAGAAATACTAGTGACGTTATTCGTATGGATGTGAAGACTTAATCGAGAATAGGTATTCTGTGCTAGCTTATTTAAAAGGTTTAATGTATGAAATGATAAGTAGATTAGTCCCTAATTTTGTTTACTATTAACACTTTCTACTAGTCTGAAATAACAAAATTTAATTCTCATATTAGATAGATAAATATTGAGAATTATAGCAAAAAGTATAGTTTTTAAAAATCGAATCGGCTAGGGTTAAATTGCATTACATAACCATTAATGAAAACACAAAGAATAGAAATATTAATTAAAGTTCGTTATGGAGATAAAGGACAGACAAGACAGATCAAAGATACAGAGGGTATAATTATAACAGATTTACAACAATAAATGAACCGATGGACAGAATACATATCACAACTCTTTGATGACAAAGATAGACAAGAAATCTCAAACGAATATACAGATGATACAGGGCCTGATATAATCAGAGAAAAAATAGAATATGCAATCAAACAATCAAAAAGTGGTAAGGCCCCCGGTCCTGAATGAAATTCCCGTAGAACTGCTCAAACTTATGGACGATGAATCTATTAAAATAATCCTAGATCTATTTAACACAATATATAGAACTGGAATAATACCTAGGGAATGGCTCCGTTCGACCTTTATACTACTGCCAAAAAAGGCAAATACAAAGGAATGCAACGAATATCGTACGATAGCTTTGATGAGTCATGCTCTAAAACTGTTCATAAAAATAATCCATAATATTATGTATAGGAAATTATACGTAGACATCAGTAACACTCAGATGGGATTCAGAAAAGGGCTGGGTACAAGGGGGGCTCTGTTTGCAATGAACGTTCTCTCACAGAGATGCTTAGACATAAACCAATAAATTCACGCCTGCTTTATTGATTTCGAAAAGGCCTTTGACAAAGTAGAACATGAACCACTAAGACAAGTTCTAATAAAGAAAAATATAGACAGCCGAGATATTCGAATTATATGCAATCTATATTGGAATCAAACAGCAAATGTCAAGGTTGAGGGCAGACTAACAGAAGAAATTCAAATCCGTCGAGGAGTCCGGCAGGGATGTATCTTATCGCCACTTTTATTTAATCTGTATAGTGGTGCTATCTGTGAACAAGCACTCGAGGAAGAAGATCTTGGTCTGATAATAAATGGTGAGACGATCAACAATATAAGGTATGCTGACGATACAGTTCTCCTAACGGGAACGCTAGTAGAACTACAACATCTCGTTCAAAGTCTCAATATATACTGTAACAGTTACGGCTTGAAAATTAATTTGAAAAAAACTAAATTTATGGTAATCACGAAATCAAAGAACATCAGAGCTAATCTTGTAATAGACAATAGAACGATTGAGCGTGTGCCTTCTTATAAATATCTAGGTGCTTGGATCACAGACGATACTGATTAAACAAAAGAGATTAGATGTAGAATAGAAATCGCTAGATCAGTCTTTAATAGAATGAGTAAACTCTTTCGCAATCGTGATATCAATATAAAGTTACGAATACGATTGCTGTGGTGTTATGTCTTTTCTACCCTGTTATATGGAGTTGAGGTTTGGACACTAAAACAGTTGACCATAAAAAACATCGAAGCTTTCGAGATGTGGTGCTATAGGCGCATTCTCAGAATATCATGGATGGACCGCGTCACTAACACGCAAGTACTCCAAACTTTAGACAAAAGATGCGAATTTCTAAATGAGATAAAAACTAGAAAATCCACAAGGAAAAAATTCCTGTGGAAAAAAAACTAGAAAGATGGAATACTTGGGGCACATTGTGAGAGGTGAAAAGTACGAACTTTTAAGAAACATCATGCAGGGCAAAATTAAGGGCAAAAGAAGTGTGGGAAGAAGAAAAATATCGTGGCTTCGTAATCTACGTGAATGGTTCGGGTGTAGTTCGATTGAACTTTTTAGGCGCGCTGCTAACAAAGTCGCAGTGATCATGATGATTTCCAATCTCCGCTAGGAGTGGCACGAGAAGAAGAAGAATGGAGATAAAACCAAAAAAGCACAAGACGTACGTATATATTTAGTTAGTATAAAATATGTATTATTAAGTATGGCAGTCCTCGAAGTAATTCAAGGCAAACGTTTTCTATTTTATGCATTCTAGAAAAGAGAATATCATACATACACAATTCATAATGTATAGTTTTGCGAACTAATGAGAATAATCATAATAAAGATTCAAAAATCCACATCCGTTTCATTCGTCAATTTTTTTTTTCTTATAAAGCAATCTTCTGTTTACATGGAACAGTAAATTGGCAAGACTGTAGATATTGGCGTAAACGTATGAGCAGGGATAGTCGAGATTAGAATTATAGGTCCTTTTTCCTTTGGTGATCCTCTTATGAGACAGATATCTTGCTTTTTTACAAAATAAACTTTTACGCACCCTTAGTTTGTTAGAACAGTGAGCAACGGATAACTCACAGTCAGTCGAATGCCGCGCACGTTCGTCAAAATCAAAGAAATGGTTCTCTATGATAACGGTTTGTTAGGTTCTGCTGAGGTGAGCGCACTGCAGAGCGGCTGAGCGGTAGCCGTGTACGTCGACGGTGTGCGCTGGAATCAACTGCGATTTGATTTGGACGCAAACGTTCAGCTGAACTTAGGGCGTACACATCTATACCGAAATATAATTGTATTTTTATATAGTTATTATTATTGTAATATTTATAATTAGGTGTATAATTAATAGTATTATTCTCAAATTTTTTTCTCGTTTTAGAACAATCTTCGTTCGACAAGCACCTTCTGTATTACGACATGATATAATTTAGTTTACATTTTTATTTCTTTTATTTAGATTTGATATTATCAACTCTTGTTCTTTCTTCTCTTCTTGGAGAATTATCATATTGCCTTAAGTTTGCGAGAAGTCATTCTTCTAAACGTATAACCTTTAAGAGAACAACCTTGGAACTAATTTTTAAACTTCAGCCTAACAGAATCTATTTATGCCATACGACTCTAACAAACCGACTCACCCAAAACTGCCGTGAGTCGAGTACAACAGATTCTGCTGTACGTGTATGTTGTGCGCTGCACACTGTTCTAACTAACCGTAGCTTTACATACTTTTTTCGTATATACATACTATCATAAGAGAAAATTTTGTCGGCAATATTTTCGACTGGTATAAAAATTTGTTGCTCGGCAATTTTCGCGAATTAAATTTTAAAAGTTAAATCACGAGACGCCAGTCGAGTAATTTTGTCAAAATTTCATAAGTGAAAATTGCCAAAAGTCAACAAAGAATAAAACCAGAAGAAAATTTTGCCAGTAAATCATTTTCTCTTGAATGATATTGGACAAGACTATTTTACGATACAATTAATGCACAATATCAACAAAACATAATATGTATTTATTTGTTGACAATATTAAATGTACAATTATTATAAGCTATAGTAGTTTGCCCATTCTTTTCTACCAAAGCATGATTTTATGTATTATTGACCTGTAGCATTTGGAAACTCGAAGGTTCACCTTCAGTTGTTGTTGTGAGATTTTCGATCAATTTCTGGTGGTGACTGGAATCCAGCAGCAGATATGGTTTTAGAGAGCTTGCATTTGGGTGACCCGTTAATTTAATTAACTCCTGTTCAGAAACACCTTGCTTGAACAAGGATGACAT